CTCGTGATCCACCCGCCTTGGCCTCCCAAAGTGCTGGGATTACAGGCTTGAGCCACCACGCCCGGCCTAGTCTCACTTTTTAAAGAGGGCTCCACAGTGATCTGAAAGTTACATAATCTGCTGGTAGTGTTTGTTTAAATGCGAGGAGGTCTCTTATGACAACTAAGATGCAACTCACTATGGTTTTTGTTGTTGCTGTTTTAAGAGACAGAGTCTCCCTCTGTTGCCCAGGCTGGAGTGGTGCTGTCACAGCGCCTAGGCTCAAGCAACGCTTCTGCCTCAGCCTCTGGAAGAGCTGGGACTCCAGGTGCACACCACCATGCCAGGCTAATTTTTAATTTTTTGTGGAGATGGGCTCTTGTTAGGTAGCCCAGGCTGGTCTTGAACTCCTAGCTTCAAGCAATCCTCCCACCTCAGCCCCCTAAAATTCTGAGCATGAGCCACCAGGCCCAGCCCAGTATGTTTTTGGGAGGAAGGCAAGTTAATGCCAGGCTTCTCAAGAAGGATGATACTGGGAATGCACATGGTTCCCCTAGAAAGACCAGGGGTGTCAACAATTGCTGGGCCTTCGGGGAACCCACATCAGTGGGGTTGGAGGAAGGAGTACAAATGACAGTTCTTCCAGTGTGGCTTCTTGGCTAGTTGGTAAGTCTTGAGGTTCTTTGTTAAGTTAGAATAATTGATGCTAGTTGTTTTTGGAAAGGCTACCTGAGGGTAACCAGTCCAATCTGTCCTGTGTGCCCGTGCCACTGGCTGAGTGGCATTTGTTTACCCCGCAGAGTGACTGAGGATGGGAGTGAAGAGGACACTCAGAGGTGCTGATAGGTGCTTAGTGTGGGAAGTATAGGGGTTGGGGCCATCCTCTGATGTTACCAGCAGTCTTCTTGGTAAGGTTAAGGGAATGGTTATCAAACTGTGGTTAGAGCTGTCTGACAGGGTGGCAAAACAACAGTAAAATTCAAGGTACTTGTCACCGTTTGGGAGAGTGTCATTAAGGCATTTTCTCTGTGAGGAAGGCTCTAAGGCAGTTTTGAAAGACAGAGTGTCATTAATGTCCCTCCCTCCTCTGTATATCACAGGGTCTAAGGTGTATCTTCCTCATGTGCCAGGGTTGTTGCTTTCCTTTCACCCCAGTCGTCCCCTAGCCACACCAAGCCCAGAGGGTCAGGTGCAGGAAGGATAGTACATTTTGATAAAGTTTACGGAAATGCCTTATGTCCACCGCTGGGGCCTGCACAGGCTACGACAGGAGGACTCGGTGAGCAGTGTATTCAACTCTAAGTGTTCATTACCTTTACGATCTGGGACAAGGTCAGCCCAACAAGAGACTGCAGGTGGCTGAACAAGAATTAAGTTCGAATCTCCTAGCCTTTTGTCCAGCCTTACTCTGAAGGGTACACCAGCCCAGCTGGCCTAGTATTACCATTAAGGGAAAGAAAGAAACATCATGCCCAAGAATGGTCAGGCCAAGATCCCAAATTTTCATAACCCTCTGTTCCTTTCATCTAGGACATGATCCAGGAAGCAGCTAAGCAAAATAATCCCTTTCTGGAGAATGCTGTATCCAGTGACTAAACTGCGTTACCAAATTGTGTGGGCCAGGAGGAGGTGAGGGAGGTAGAGTCAGAAATATTTTTTTAATTAAACTTTTTGTTTTGAGGTAATTATAGATGCAAATGCAAGTTATAAGAAACAATACAGAGAAAGCCTGTGCGTTCATTACCCAGTTTTCCCCAATGGTAACATTCTGCAGAATTACAACATCTCAATATCTCAGCAATATCCTGTGGATACCATCACACTGTTAATAAACATTTTCATCACCCCACAGATCCCTCATGTTGTTCTTTCATAGCGAAGCCTACTTCCCTCCTACTCCATCATCTCCTTAATACCTGGCGAACACTCATCTGTTCTCCATTTGTCTAATTTTGTAATTTGAAGGATGTTACATAAATGGAATTACAAAGTATGTATGGAAAGCATCCAGTCTTTCACACTCAGTATGAGGTCAGTTGTAGGTACTTTGGTAGGTGTTCTTGATCAAGTGTGGAAATTCCCTTCTATTCCTATTTTTCTGAGCATTTTGATGGTTCTGAATTTTGTCAAGTGCTTGTTCTACATTGATTGATATATTCAAGGGATTTTTCTTTTCTTTAGATTGTTGGTGTCAGGAATTGCATTGATTAACATTCGTTTTTTGTTTGTTGGTTTGTTTGTTTTTGAGACAGGGTTTCACTCTGTTGCCCCAGCTGGACTGCAGTGGTAACTGCAGCCGCAACCTCCCAGGCTCAGGTGATCCTCCCACCTCAGTCCCACCTGTGCCTGGGACTACAGGTGCGTAACACCATGCTGGGCTAATTTTCATATTTTTTGTGGAAATGGGGTCATGTCATGTTGCCCAGGCTGTTCTCAAACTTCTGGGCTCAAAGGATTCGACGGCCTCAGCCTCCCAAAGTGCTGAGATTACAGGCATGAGGCACCACACCCAGGCTGATTGACTTTTGAATTTTAATTTTGCATCCCTGGAAAAAACTCCACTATGTTGTGGTGTATAATTATTTTTCTATATTGCTGAATTCCATTTGCTAATACTTTGTTAAAGATTTCTGCATCGTCACCTTGTGATAACCTGGAAAAGGCAGGAGTCTCGGATTTCCATTCATGTACGAGTGAGTAGGGCCAGGGTTTCTCCTGTGGCGTTTGGCTGAAGTAGAGCCATTACTGCCTAAAAGTTTTTATGTCTTTCTAGGCTTCCCATTTCCTGGTCCTTGACTAGAGACAGCAGGCTTCACTGAGACTTTTTTTTTGGTCTGCGCTTGTTGCCATTTTTGGGTTACTGGCTTCTTCAGCTCCAAGTTTAGGACAAAGAAACAACAAAAAGGAAGCCCAGGGAACTCAGCATCATGCCTTCCCTTGGGTTCTGAGACTTCTAGTTCACCTGTCTTCTCTCAATCTCTTGGAGTCTTCTTATGTTGGAGAATATATAAAGTCCAGGATTTTTTGTTGTGCTTAGCAGGAGAAATGGAATACTGATGTCTACTCCATCTTCCTGAAAGCAGAAGGATTCTTTTTTTTTTAAGTAGATTTTTGGTCAATATCAGATGCTGTTGATGGTAATCAGTGTGGAAGGTTAATCAATACCTTGAATATCAGCCCATTGTTGAGTGGCTTCTGTGATAAAAGGTGTACTTTTGTGAGATTACAAATGATTCGGAAAGCCAAACGCATGACACATTACTTTCAAGGGCCATATTCAAAGGTTGCCCCTTCATGGATTTCCTTGGCTGCCAGAAGGATTAGAGTGTTGTGGTTCCACTCATGTAGTGCCAATTTACTCGGTGAGCAGGCTCCTGCATTTTTGGGGTCTTACAGAGTTATGATAATATTGCAGTCAGGTCCATTGAAACTGAGGTATCTGACTATCCAGTTGTGGCAAAAAGACTTGTAGGTGGCCCATGTGATCTCTACCTCCTGGCCTTTCAGAACTGTGGATGGCCTCTGAGAGCCTAAGAGCAGTCTTTAGGAGCTAAGGGCAGCCTCTAGCTCACATCTAGAAATAAACTGGGGACTTAGTCCTACAACTGCAAAGAAATGAATTCTGTCAATGACCTGAAAAAGCTTTGAAGCAATTCTTCCCCCGTAGAGCCTGCAGATGAGAATGCAGCCCAGCTGACATCTTGATTGCATCCTTGTGAGAGCATAAGCAGAGGATCTAGTTAGGCCATACCTAGACTTCCAACCTTCAGAAACTGTGCAGTGATATACATGTGTTTCATGAAGTACTAAATCTGTGGTAGTGTATCTAATCTGTTGCACAGCAATAGATGACAAATATACCAACAAACAAGACATTGTCATTGTAGTGAAAGCTTGGACACTCACAATAAATTGTGACCGCTGCAGGGATGGCAAATGGCAGATGAGTTTATGTATCCATGATGGAGTACTGCAAACATATGTTTGCAGACATCTGTGGCATGCTGGGATAGGGGTTGGGTCATGGAGGTTCTTTTAGTATATATTTTCTAAGGTGGTTGTAAGATTTAAATGTGATACTGCAGGTAAAAGTGGTTTAATGCAGGATCTGGTGCCTTCCATGGTGTGCAGCCCAAGGAGTGTGGCTCTTGTCATCTTATTGTTTCAATGAGGTCACGTTTCTGTCAATATGCACAAATTATAACGGCAATTGATTTGCAGATCTCTTACTTCTTCCCCTCCTCCTAACCAACTGATCAAAAAACCGGTTCACCCTCCAACCACTAGACCAAGTTCAAAGCAACGTCTGGCGCAGTCCTTTCTCAAATAACAAAGCAATAATTTCCCTTTTCCCTGCAACAGCCATCAATCACTCAGCGCAAAAACCCAAGCAGGTCTGCCGGACCAGTCTCATGCCCACCCCTGGTCATCTCCGAGAGACTACAATTCTGGCTAACAAGGACCTCAACGAAGGGCCCGTTAGGGTTTTCCCTCCCGCGAAGGAGAGAATGCCGTCCCCAGGGAGCAGGCTCTTGGGCCCTGTTATTGGCTCCCTGAGAAAGTGAAGAGGGAGGAATCCCAAGGCGCGGCCCGAACGTCCTTTGGGGGCGTGGGCAGCCCGGAGCCTCTTCCACGCCAAGCACCAGGCGCGCCTTATTTTCAGCCCCCAGACGGCTCCATGATCCTGTTTAAACAGAGCGGCCTGTCTACACGAAGGGGCGTAGCGAGGCCGGGGCGGGGGCAAGCCCTGGGAGTCGGCGACCCCTCTCGGCCCCGAGCCGTCCCGGGCGCGCAGCCGCCGAGTGCCACATCAGCGCCGGCGCCGCACTTCCACGTTCCCTCAGAGGATGCAGCGAGCGGGCCGGCGGGAGGGGCGGGCCTGCGGGAGGGGCGGGCCCCAGGCCTCCAGGAGTGGCGGGCCTCCCCGCCAATCGGCGGCAAGCGAGGAGCCGCGGCCACCAATGAGCTGGGGTTTGTGCCAGCCGCGGCCGCCGAGGCCCGTGCCCCGCGGGGGAACCGATGAAGCACATCTGGACAGCTGTGCTGAGGGGCTGTGCGGCCCCCTCGCGGGCCGACGTCAGCCGAGCACGTCCCCCACGTCCGTTCCTTCTCGCCACTTATTATTTATTCGTTCTCCCAGAGAAGCAACCAGGGACCCAGAAGTTTAAAACTTTTTCCCCCTAATGCGAGACGTGGCCAGATCCCATCCAACACACAGTTTAATGTTCATGGGGCTCTGGATCAAAAGCTCAGAAACAGCAACAACAAAATCCCAGCTGCTGTCTGATTTTAAACTGGCAAACTGGGAAAAATAAAGAGTAAACAGACCAAGTTGGGTAAGTTTTGGATACGTGCTGGATATATTTCTCTTGCTGTAATCTCTATCCTGTGTCTTCGCTGTTCTCACCAGCTTCCTCTTCAACCAGGGGAGAAAAATCACGCTTGGTGCCACAAACTGGACCCTTCGCTCCCTTCTCTTCCTTTTCGCTAACATTTTAATTTTAAAATTTTTGGTTTGGTATTAAATTTTTCTTTTTTTTTGGTGCACTAGTTTTGAATTTTCTGGGAACAGAAATTTGACTGGCATTCTGTTGTAAACCTCTAACTCCAAAATTGAATTATTGATAAATTTATTTCTCTGTTTTCTTTCTGTGAAAATACTGTGCACATTTGTAAGCCAAAATCGTCTTCTGTCCCCGACTCTGGGGGTGTTTTGATGGGAGATTAAAAAAATTATCTGACCTATTCAGAATTAGCACTTTTGCTTCCGTTAATAGGATGTGTAATATAATTATGTAAAAACCGATATTATGTAGGTAGCTGCTGGATTTTTCACTTAAATCTGGAGTTAGCTGCAAGCCAAATAGATGTCTTTTTGGTACTCTCCTATCCAGAGTGGAATACCTGAATTCCTTTATAATTGTTAAAAAAACCCAAAAAAAGAAACATGTGACAGACCACTTTCTGTGTTCATAAACTTATAATTGTATATTTATATAATATATCGTATATTATATACAGTACATTATATAAAGTATATATACTAGAGTATATGTAGAGTATACATATAGAGTATACATAGAGTATATGTATATAGAAAGTATATATACTAGAGTATACATATACTCTACATATACTCTAGTATATATACTTTCTATATGCTGCAGGTATATTTTTTGTTTGTTTTTGAGACAGATTCTCACTCTTGTTGCCAAGGCTGGAGTGCAATGGTGCAATCTCGGCCCACTGCAACCTCTGCCTCCAGGGTTCAAGTGATTCTCTTGCCTCAGTCTCCCGAGTAGCTGGGATTACAGATGCCTGCCACCAAGCCTGGCTAATTTTTGTATTTTTAGTAAAGACGGGGTTTCACCATGTTGGCCAGGCTGGTCTCAAACTCCTGACCTCAGGTGATCTGCCTGCCTTGGCTTCTCAAAGTGCTGGGATTACAGGTGTGAGCCACAGTGCCCCACCTTATAATTGTATATTAAAACAATAATTCTATCAAAATAATATGCAATTGTTATATGTACATGCTTGCAGATAGTTCCAGTATACATTTCAAGATTTAGAAACAGAATGATGAAAAATATTGAGTCGGGTGAGTGGCCTGAGGCCCACTCCATCTGAAACATCTATAATCCCCTCTGTTTAGGCAATGTTTTGCATTTGAGACTTTTGTCATATGTTATTTACTGTCATGAGAGAGCTGGATAGAATGTATCTTTAATTTCTGGCTCAGAAAGCAGTAGATGGGAATTTAGTATGATAATTAAAAGTTGCAGAGTGTGTTTCTGGTTCAGAAAAGTAATGCATACAAAGTGGGTGGAGCAGCTGAAGTGATTTGGAGGAAGGCAGACTTAGAAGGAACAGTGTTGCAAAAAAGCAATGTAAAGGGCCAGGTGGCCTGGTTCAATTCACAGCCCCACAGTAACTTATCTCCGGCAAGTTCCTGAGCCCCTCTGTGTCTCAGCTTCCTCCTCTCTAACATGGAGAGTTTCCTCCTCTGCTGTCAGCTTCCTCCGCTGTAATGTGCTGAGAATAATGTCACCTACCTCATCATGGGGTTGTCTTGAGGACTGACTTAGCATACATGAAACACTTGGAATAGTTCTGGCCCATAGTCCCATAGTATGCCTCTGCTGTTGTACTCACTCTCCGTGCCTTCCTTCCCAGCCTGCACTGCTGCACATCAGTTTCCCCAGCTGCCATTCTGACTGCTGCTCTAGCAACTGGTATTAACTGAGTGCTGACCACTTGCTAGCCAGCATTGTATGAGGCTGTCAAGGAGAGAGAGTCTTGAATTAGGAGTGAGGTAGAATTGATCATCTTAGGAAGATCTAGAAGGTTCTGGAAGTGCAGGGGACGGAAAAAGGCCATCTGTTGTAGGATGACTTCAGGGAAGGGCTTGCATTCCTGGGAATGGGTTTTGCCAAACAGTTTTCGTTTGGGAATGGGAGGAAGGGAAGAGATTATAGAGCAACAGGAGCATTTTAGGAGGAAGGAGACGCAGGGGCAAAGGCACTGTGTCTGGAAAGTGAGGAGCTATTCTGGGGATTTTGGGACATTGGGATAATCTGTGGGAGGTTAGTTCAAGGAAAGTTTGGAAAGGTGGGAGAGGTATGAAGCTATAGCATGAATTACCTGATGAGGAAAGACAGGCTTGGGAGGTAGATTGGTGGGGAGATGGCAAGCTGAACTGGCAGCAGTTACACAGAAGAAGTGTTTCTGTAATAATCCATCTCTGGGATGTAGTCTCCTCTCTTGCCCAGCATTCCCTTCCCATCTGCTTCACTGCTTCTGTCATTTCCATCCAAGGAGATGGGCAGGCAGGGATGGGCAGTGAGTCTGGGTCCTGTGTTCTGGACTCATTCTGTGGTGGCTATCTTGGAGCTCTGCTTCAGTGGTCTGTGCTCAGAGCAGTTACTCAGGCTACTTTTTGTTAACAGGCCGTTCTCTAAAGTTTTTGACATGGATGTGATTTCTACAACCCTCCCCATCCTCATATACACCCTAGTGTGTGCCAAGTAGCTCTTTCTCATCCTGCTGATAGAATCATCTACTCACATTGTAAAACATTAACTTCATAATTTACAATTATTGAAGTAGACAAGAACTGTAATATGCACCTAAGTGGAGGGTCATTTTGGAGTTCCCTTGCTTTCTCTTCTGTGAGAACATTGTTCTGTGGTAGAGAACTGTGCCCAGTATTGCTGTTGACCACCTATGTGACCTCAGGCAAGACACTGAGCCCTTGTGGTCCTCCTTGCCATCACCTGTGAACTGATCTCTAAGGCCCCCTTTCTCTTGGATGATCATTTATTCTTCTCCCCCGATCCCTGGAACAGTCCGTTATGCACAGATGGCTATTTGATACATCTATGACTAATATTTTCTGATCACTTAATACGTGGTGGACGTTCCGATGATGCGCATGTCATCCTCACATCCATCTTGTGAGGGTTGGTACCTATTTGTGTCCTGTTTTTCTAGCTGAGGAGACAGGAGCAAAGGCAGGTTAAGAAATTTGCCCAAGATTACACAGCGAACAGGTGGCAGGTGCAGACCGAGTCTAACTTTGGAACCCAAGCCTTAACCAACAGGCTGCACTACCTTGGGTATAATATAGCGATGACTGCTCTTGTTTGTTGTGGTGATAGTTGAGAAGTACATGGAAGGAAGATCATTGGAGAAAGGGCATACTTGGAGAGATTGAGTTGATAAAACTTGCTTGGTAGGGCCAGAATATCAACATGAATCTCGTCTATGATATGTGTTCCACGTGGAAACTGGAGACACGTGGATCTCATTGCAGGCATGCGCTCTGTCTTTTCACCTTGTTTGAACAAAACCCACATAGCACACGGTTGTCTAGTGGGCAATCGATACATGTCAGTTGAATGACTGTCCCCTTTGAAGAAGGAAGTTGTGATCACACTGTTTTTATTTAAGAAAATAAATAGAAAACTATGAAATGTCCCAAGATTTGTGGGAAAATGGGGCAGATGCTAGGTAAACATTCCACTCTTACTTTTGGGGCATACCACTTTCTCTTTTTATTTCTGGAGATGCTGTGGTTTTGGGCTAAGTACTTCTCATGGTGAATGTCAATGAAGGGCTATTTTCAGTGTATAGTTATTAATCACACCCATTCTGGATGTGGCATCTACCTTATTGGGAATTCATTCCTTAAATATTTTGTGTATTGAATCAACTTTAAAATATTTGAAAAATGTTTTAGTTTGCTCTTTATCTAATGTAGTTATCAGTATGTCCTAGTGACTAAGCATGCAGGCTTTGAAGTCAGGCTGTGAGGGTTTGAATTTCAGATCTGATTCTTAATAATGTAGCCTTGAGCAAGACACTTTCTAGAAGATTTTATTACCTGTAATATGGGGATACTCATATGCATTACATGAGGAAATCCATGGAGAGCATTTAGTATGTCACCTGGCTCACAGTAAAACCTGTACATGTAAACAATTCTTTTCTTTTCTTTTTTTTTTTTTGTTTTTTTTGAGACAGAGTTTCACTGTCGTTGCCCAGGCTGGAGTGCAATGACACGATCTCGGCTCATTGCAACCTCCACCTCCTAGGTTCAAGGGATTCTCCTGCCTCAGCCTCACGAGTAGCTGGGATTACAGGCATGCACCACCATGCCTGGCTAATTTTGTATATTTAGTAGAGATGGGGTTTCTCCATGTTAGTCAGGCTGGACTCGAACTCCTGACTTCAAGTGATCCACCTGCCTCAGCCTCTCAAAGTGGTGAGATTACAGGCGTGAGTCACTGCTCTCGGCCATAATTCTTTTTTTATTGTGGTAAAATATATAATAACATAAAATTTACCATTTTAACCATTTTTAAGTGTACAGTTCAATGACATTAGGTACATTCACATTGTTATGTGACCATCACCACCATCCGTCTGCAGACATTTTTCATCTTCCCAAACTAAAACTTCATACACATTAAACAATAAATCCCTGTACCCCTTACTTTATCCGCCTCCGAAACCAGTATTCTACTTTCTATTTTTATGAATTTGACTATTCTAGGTACTTCATATAAGTGGAATTATATAATATTTATTCTTTTATGTTTAGCTTATTTCATTTAGCAAAATGCCTTCAAGTATCCATGTTGTAGTATGTGCCAGAATAGCCTTCCTTTTTAAGGCTGAATAATATTTCATTGTATGTATATACCATCTTTTGTTTATCCATTCATTTGTTGGTAGAGGGATTTAGGTTGTTTTCATCTGTGATGGTTAAGTATGTGTCAGCTTGTCTAGGCCACAGTACTGAGCTATTTGGCCAAACGTTATTCTAAATGTTTCT